CATTTTGTTAGTAATGTATGTTAGGTCATTATAAGCTTCAGCCAAAAAATTGAAGTTACGAATCTGGTCTATAAATTTAATTAATTTTGTATATTGTTCAGACTTAATTGATGGATGCTTTGTTAATTCTTTTGCATCACTACTGACTGTATTCATATTATTCTTCAACCTTTCATTAACATTTTTCAAGCACCTCTTATAAGTCTTGAAGTTAAAAAGCCCTTTACCACCGATTCTCATAACTTCAACATTTTTAATTGCAGCTTGAATTCGTACTAAATTTTCATGATCTGTAAATTTATGCTGCGTACTCACAAACGATTCATAAAATGTTACCCATGACATGTCTGTATCAACAACTTCTGGTAGCTTCATTACCGACTGCTTGTCGAAAAACTCAAATGCCTTAACAGCAAAAGTAGACTCATTTCCAGTAGCAACTTCACTTGATCCTTCACCTTGCGATTCTCCATGTCCTGGCTGTAATTGCATTCTTTTAAATAAATTATTTTTTATCCTCGTACATTCCTCACATAAAAATTCAAACTTATTTTCAACTGTAAGTATTTCCTGATCACTCAAACAATTTCCGTGATATTCATTTTCACATCCAAAACATACATGAATGTTTATCTCAATTAATTTATTACAGACAAAACATTTAACATCAGACATCTTTAAATCTTTTGACTCTTCTGTCAAATCAACAATTAATTCTTCAATAATGTTGCCACTAAGCATTAAAAATTTACGATAGCTAGCAAACGAATGCAGCAATCTTAATAATCACTTCACAACTATTTACTCAAATAATCTTCTGTTCATTAATTAATTTTAAACAAATATGATGCATCCAAACAGAACAATTCCTACATCCACAATTAAATCTATCTTCTTAAGCTCTTTTACACTGTTAATTTATTCCTTCATATGATTTTATGATCAGATTTCATCAAACTTTTTCGTTTGGAATTAATTATGTTAATTACACACAACACTTATGCATTCCCCGTTGTTTAATTAATAATTTATATTATCTAATGGGATTTTGCAGTCTTAAAAGTGATAAATTAATATCGAAATTCACTTTTTCAAGACAAAAATATAAAATTATCTTAATCGTACACTATTTCTTACTTTCGAGAATTTTTCTATATCTCACAACGTTATTTTATCATTTGAACACATTAATTCACTTAAACAATCATTAATTATTTAGTTTAAATTGATTTTTTTCAAACAAACATCTGATTTTGATTCACAATTAATAATTATGTCCACAATAATTTAACGAACTTTTGCAATTTAAACTTGCTATAATTTTCAAATATTAGTAATATCAACGTACTATTTGCTATAAAATATATATTTTTTTAAATGAAATATCTCAAATTAACAAATTGACTTATATAATCGTCCAAATTCTTTCATAAAACGCACAAACTATCAAATACAAAAACGTGCTATAAATATTCAACTGTATCTTTAAAAAAATTTCACTGGATGTTTTTTCTCTGGATCTCACAATTTTTTACTGGATGTTTTTATTTTCTTTAAATCTTCATGAGAATGCACTTAGATGCTTAATATCTTCTCAATTATATGTATTATATCACTTCACTACATCCAATGTGAATCCAGAGTGAATTGAGTGTTAAAAAATTAATTTGATCTTAATCACAAAATTAATTTTTATGGGGTTAAATTTTTAACTTGCTGTATATTGTCTCAAAATCTCATCTTTTATGCCTTATTTAACCCAAATTCACAGAACAACTTACTTGACGTCGATTATAGAGCCTGTAGATCCAAAATGAAAAGAAAATCCATGATATTTCCAGTCATTATTAATTATTTATTGTTCCTCATCAAAATTTATTCAATTCCTGGCTGTTCCTCAATCTATATTTCCTCTATCAATGCCAGTGAATTTAATTCACAAAATAACCTGATTTAATTTTTGAATTTCTAGGCTCAATTCACCTGAAAAGGTGGATATGAGAAAAATATTCGAAATAATTAATTTAATGCCTAAAATCAATACAATTTGATATTTTCTTACTCTTTGGTGTCTAGGTAAGTTGTCTATATAAAAATTGTTGCCAACAAATGGCTTAATTAATTAATTTTTTATAAAACGTAACTTGGTGCGACTTCACAAGTTGACAAAACGATTTAAAAAGACTGATCAAGTATAAAATTGATTACAAACTCATTACAGAAGCGCATTAATGATCAAAGTCATAGTAAAGTTAACGAAATATTAAAATTATCAATGAAATTGTCTAAAATATATGTATACTTTAATTGATTAAAGTGAAAGAGGCATTAAATTATTGCAAAATTATTGGCATGTTAACAGACTTTTGGAATTTGAAAATATTGAATTAATTTTGAACTTAATCGAAATTCAAAATTTTATATAACGTAAAATTTTTCAACAAAAGCTACAAAGATCCAAATCAATAAAATTTCATCAACGATAACATCAGCAACACTTTTTCCTAATTTGATTCACGTTTCTGATATAACTTTATTTATAGAAAATATATTCAGCAAATTCGTCGCTAATTTTACTTCAACATTTAATGATTCTTTTGATATATTCAGCTCTATTTTTAGAAACGCTAGCTTATTATAATTTTTGGAGCAATTTGCATAACAAATTTGTATATTTTGGGAATCATTAACATGAAATTGTAATAAAAATTAAGGGATAATTTTAAGGGATGAATAAAAAATGTTATGGAATTCTTCCTTTTTAACTCATAAATGCCAGCCAGTCTATTATTATTCAGAAATGATTTATGGTTAATTTGATGGATATACCTTATCTTTGATAAAAGGTTTTATCACTTAAGAACACGCAAATATTAAATGTGAAAGTTCAAGGAGGTTTTGCGTGTAATTTGATGAAAGAACCTTGGGATTTGGTAATTGATCTTTGAAGGTTCCTCCAAATTTCTAATTGCATCCCAATTCTCTAATTGGTTCTTAAAATAATTATATCCAAACTTGCAATACAAAAACTTTTACATTTAGTCTTTTCACTTAAGTCATAAAGAGAAAACTTTTAGTCAGTTGACATACATCTTAGCACCTTATTGTACCATTGAATAAAAAAGTTTAAGTTTTCCATCGAGATAGCAGAAGTTGCAGTAAAATTTTAAACAAAAACTTTTAATTGACTAATTTAAAGCCCTCAATCCTCCAATTAACGCTTCTCGAAATGAATTTTTCAGTATGCTTCTTCTTTCATTCCACATCAACATTTCAATTACAATAAATATAAAGTAAAGAACTAGAATGTGACATGGAACATGAACATTTGTAAAGTAAATACCGTTCAGCAAACTACAATTTATTTTATATGTGAAAATAATGTCTCGATTGGAAAGAAGAAAAGCAAGCAAACCCTTTCAAAAGTTATGGATGTGGTAAATAAAAAATCATTTTTCTTCCTTCAGCACAACAACAACAAAAGAACGAAAATGCCCGAAAAAAGTTTACATCACGCAAAGTTCAAATCGGCAGTAGTCAGAATTGATTGTTGGGAATTTAAACAGTGAGAAATGACTAGAGTCAAAAGTAGAGTCTGATTGTATTGTAGTTTAATCGAATAGTATAGAGCGGCATGACTCAAATGTACTCAAACCCCGTAATTTCAGGTTGTTGTAATGCTATCTATTTGTAAAGATATTGGGATATCCTTAAAGCAGTTTGTCTTGATAATGAAATGAGAATTGAAAATTGAACTTTGCCTGTAAATCTAAGCAGGAGGCATAGAAGATCATCTCGAAATGATTTAAGGACAATTTTTGGTTATCGTGATAAGTTTAGAGCTGCAGTTATTAATAAAACTGATTAATGACATGTAAGTGTAGATATTGCTCAAAGAGCATATCTGAAGTAGATTGGTCGAGCATAGGGTTCGCAGTGAAACTGGTTGTATGTATATAACGGATAGGCGAAGTGAGAGAAGTACCTAGATGGCCGAGTGGCAGGAATCTCTGATCGAGTGGTCAGAGATCGCGGGTTCGATTCTTATCAAACCCGACTTGTTTTACATTTGTATGTAAATATAGCAGTTATAGCGAGATCTACAGTAAGCTTAAATCATACCAAACAATGCAATTATAACCTCAAATTAGTGAGATCCTTAAAAATTCCGAACATCTGATCCAACAGCATTGATCGCATCAACAAAATATATTCAGAAGCCGGTTTTAAGGCCTTGCGTAGCACCTAATCTAGAAACCTGACTCAGAATTCACTATTCTTTCCAGTATTATGAAATTCCAATCGTTATAATTCACAAACCTCTATCAAATTGCTTCTGTAAGGGATCGTTCACGTATGACGTCCGAAAATAACGATCATTTTTCAAAAGAGAACAATGGATTTCCAGGAATTTCTATTGTCCTTTTCTTGCTGACCCCCCCCCCCCCCCTTCTGGACGTCATAAGTGAACGGCCCCTAATGTAAAATGCATGCGTTTCCAATTCCCAACAACAAAAATTCTCTCTTCACTTGCTTGTTTATGTTTGCTACCACCGACGGTTGCTTATGTACATTACCCCAACACCAATTTACAGAACTACATTCATAATTACTTCTTGGTAGAAAACTTTTATACTCTTTATACATTTGCGGGACAGTTGGTCGTTGTGTTTCAAGCAAAAAGGATCGAATAGAAAAGAAAGAAAGAACTAAAGTGAATTTTAAGTGTCAAAGTAAAGAAAAATCAATAAATGTGTAAAGGCTAGCTTTTCCTTACCACTTTCCAATTCTTGCTTTCTCATTTCTTCGCCTCGTTCATGTTTTGGTGACGATGTAAATTTTTTTATTTAAATAATTTTTCATTCATTTCACATGCAGTGATTATTGGTTAAGCCATACTTACTTAATGACTCTTTTCCTACATAATCACAAATGACGCAAAAAGCAGAAATAAAATCGTAATTGTTAAGATTAATATACTTGTGTTTTTTTAACATTACAGGTCGCGCGGAACTTCAACAAGAATGGATCGATATGAAAAGTTGGCTCGCATAGGAGAGGGCTCATATGGGGTGGTTTATAAATGTCGAGACCGTGAAACAGGAAGCTTAGTTGCCGTGAAGAGATTCGTAGAATCGGAAGATGATCCCGCAATTAGAAAAATCGCCTTACGTGAAATTCGCTTACTAAAGGTATATAATAAATTCTTTATGCTGCCACCTTTGAATAATTAATGTCCATTTTATTGATTTTTTTTCTCTCCTTTTTTGTTGCTATTTTAAATTATAGAATTTAAAACATCCCAACCTTGTGTGCCTTCTTGAAGTATTTAGACGCAAAAGACGATTACATTTGGTATTTGAATTTTGTGAGCATACAGTACTGCATGAATTAGAACGAAATCCTCAGGGTATGCTCTACTTAATTATTATCGATGATTCATATTAAGACTTACCGATTAATCATTTTATTTTAGGTTGTCCAGATAATTTGACTGCTCAAATCACATATCAAACATTAATGGGAGTTAGCTATTGTCATAAGCAAGGATGTCTACATCGTGATATTAAGCCTGAAAATATTTTATTAACTGCACAAGGTCAGGTTAAATTGTAAGTCAAGTTTAAACAGGAAATTAAGGGATGGGAAGGAACTACCATTTAAAAAAGTTTTTTCCCTTTCATTTGTAATTTGCATTTTATGCGAAGCTACAAAAGTTTCTTTTTCATAGACAAGAATGTTTGAACTTTTGGCATTTGACATTCATGACGGGGCATAATTGTGGTTCTATTATGATATAGATACCGTAAATATTGATTGCTCATATAAAGCTTTTGGTGGAATTTTGTAATTTTTCAAGCAACTATTGCAGGAGTGTATTTAGGGTATTAAGCTTCCTATACCCAGCCCTTTTACAAGCCTAGAAACTCCTGTGGTTGCCATCAATATTTAATCACGTAAATCCCCTGATCGTTGCTATGGATAACAATTTATTGTCGTATTCAAAACTAATTACATCAATAAATTTTTCAGATGCGACTTTGGATTTGCGAGAATGTTAAGCCCTGGAGAGAACTACACAGACTATGTAGCAACGAGATGGTATCGTGCTCCTGAACTCTTGGTTGGTGATACAAATTATGGAACGCCTGTTGATGTTTGGGCTATTGGTTGTGTTTTTGCTGAGCTGATTCGAGGTGATGCTCTTTGGGCTGGACGTTCGGATGTTGATCAGTTGTATTTGATAAGAAGGACTCTCGGTGATCTTTTGCCAAAGTAAGTTTCCTTTTGTTCCTAATTGATATTTATTAATTTATTATCTCAATTCCCTCAGGCATCTACAAATCTTTAGTCAAAATGAGTTCTTTAGAGGAATCTCCTTGCCAGTGCCGCCCACACTTGAGCCATTAGAGACAAAAATGCCTCAAAGGACGCTTCAAAATCCATATGCGATTGACTTTTTAAAGGTAAATTGATCTTTAATGGATATTTAATGACATATTGATTATTTCCGTCATTTTTTATTATTTACTTCCGTAGAAATGCTTAGATAAAGATCCAAATAAAAGGTGGTCATGCGATCGATTAATTCAACATCCGTATTTTGAGGATTATATTGTAAAGACAAAGGATCATGAACAGAGCTCTGCAAGCTTACCAGACAGCAGTCGGCAGCGTGAAAAATCAAAAATTTCACAGACATCACTGCCGACGCTAGTGCAGCAAGAAAGCACATTTAAAAATCAGAAAAGTACATATTCACGAGCTGACTTCAATCATTTACCGACGATTTGAAATTGTACTATATCATAAGGAGTATTTAGTTCCAAATTTTTATGTTTTTGATGTAATTTCTGTTCCCCTCAACATTTTAATTCTGCCTGTAAAAATACAAATACGAATGAAAATGATGGAAGTGAGTCAAAAGAAGAGAATCTGACTAAAATATATTATTATCATGATCAAGGCTTAGGGCTAGGAGTTTAAGGTCATTAAAGTTTATTGATAAAGAAGGAATACAATAGAAATGACTTAAGTCACAAACATTTAAGCTAGATAAATTGCAAAAAAAATGATAAGAAATGACAGTACCTGCAAAAACCTTAAAATAATCCACAGAAATATGCCTTACCAAAACATTTTTAATTAAAAAATCGTCAGTAGATTTTAATGACCATTGACTCAAGGCACAGATAAAGTAATATTCTTCTATAAATATCTAACCTTAAAAAAACATGATATAAGGCTGATTAAAGCTGATACAGAATATTCTTGGCATATTTTTGCTAAACAAAATTTAAAATTACTAAAATCTAATACAGAAGTCAAGATTGCCGATGAGATTGTTTGGGTTTTGAATGGTCGGGATATAAGTTGAACTTAATGAAAGTAACTTAAACTGTAGAAGGATTTGGATTGTTGACAAAAATCTTTTTACTACTTGCTGCATTCATAAAACAATTTAGATAATCCAAAAGGGTCACAACTCCATCCATTGTTTGGGCGATATGTGTTGATCATGTCCAGACATGTTCAAACTTATACAAAAACTACATTACTATTTTGAGCTTCAATCATCATTCATAAAGGGATCTTATACATATCGATTATTTAAATCAGTGTTCACAGCGCAGCACAACTAGTCACAAATCAAATCAACTTACAAAAACTCAAAATCCAAAAAATCTCAACGAGGGCCTCGACTTTATCTATGAAATTTATCGTTAAAAATATAACTCATGTCCGTCCTTACTGTAGAATCCCTTTTAAATATTTATATGGTTCTCATTTGTTTTATAAAGATTCGTTGAAAGTTCTGCCGTTCAGAAGAAAATGTGTTTAAGCTTGAAATAAAAGTTATAAGAATGAGCTAATTTTTTATTATGTAGATACAACCTAAAGGAACTGCGTTTTAAATTATTATAAGTTATTGTATTTTCAGCCTATAATTAAACGAGTGTTGTAAATATTTGTGACTCTTTAAAGTTGTACAAATATTTTTTTGTCAAGCGCTATCGCAAATAATGTCATTATCAGCTCGTTATCTTATCTTTAGTCTCGTTTGATAAATATAGGTGCCAACAACAAGTTTTATTTTAGTAATGTCTAAAAAATAAGAGCAGCTAGTATGACTACTCGCGTTCGTAGACGGTCACTAGTACAAAGCAGCTTCATTAACACCACAAAGTATGATTTGACTAAAGAAAGTGATAGGAGGACATCCTTTATCGAAAATGGATACGCTAATGAAGCAATTCCAATTGAGGATTTGGCACTGATGGGATTTTATTTCTACAAAAGACCGGATATTGTGAAATGTGTATTTTGTTATGTGACTTTAGAGCATTTCGAATGTGGAGATACAGCACTTGGAGAACATCTTAAATTCTCACCAAATTGTCCACTGCTGGCTAAAAGAAGATCAACTGGAAATGTCCCAATGGATGAAAAACTTTTCCGACAGCGAATTCCATCAATGAGCAGTTTTGATGAGTGTGGAACAAAAAAACCGAGAAAAAATAGCAAACAAGAGTTTATGGAATATCCAGAATATAGATTGCTGCAAAAACGACTCAATTCATTTGAGACGTGGCCAGTTGGAATCAAACAAAGGCCATTGGAATTAGCAAATGCTGGATTCTTTTACAGTGGACAATCAGATCTAGTAATTTGTTTCACATGCGGTGTTTACCTTAATCAGTGGGAAAGCACCGACAATCCATGGGTTGAACATAAAAAGCTAGCCACAAAAGAGTGCAACTACCTCGCATTAAATCAAGAAATTGTCAAAAAAGAAGAGGAAAAGTATGAACAGTTCAAGAAACTTCAAGCTACCGAAAATGAAATTACAGCCTTAAATCTTAATGACAAAGAAGAAGACAGTGCCGAAAAAAACGAAACAGAAGCGAATTTTGAGACTCTGTGTAAAATTTGTTTGGAGCGGAAATCACAAGTAATATTCATGCCATGTGGACACGTCGCTGTTTGTGGTACTTGTGTCTTTGGGATTGACGACAAATGTCCAATATGTAGAGCGGAAATAAAGGAAAAAATTCAACTTTATTATGCATAAAGTCTGTTGGAATTATTTGAATCCATTTCATGGTCTACTGCTGGGTGGTGGATCGTGTCAAGGAACTTGATAAAATTGAATTTTAAACACCTTAATAATTTGGTTAGTCCAAATTTTGATCTCGAAGAAATTGTTTTAGAAATTATTAAATAAGTTATCTTAAATAGGTGAAAGTTATCATATGTGATATAAAATATAATTTTAGTTTTCCAATAAAATGAGTGTACTTTTGATTTTTAAAGATATTAATCTAGTTGAGTATTAAAAATACTTAAGATATGCCTTATAAATTGATAAACAACAAATAGAATTATTGAAGTTAATCTTATCTCTAAGTAAACACACGAAAAGTATGACAACCTAGGGTAAGGAACTGATAAACCAAATTTCGATCATTTTTGATTAGTTCTAGTAAAACCTTGTTGATGCCATTAGTTTGATCCTTCTGAATTTTTAAAAACTTATTTGCTAAGTTTCAAGAAACTCTAACCTAGAATCAAAAATGGATAAATTTGTTGTTTTACTGTAACAAGAATTGGTGATTTGTAGACCCAAAAATTGTCTTTACATTTGTTATTACCTTTCCGAGTTTAATTAGACTAAGTTGGTTGAAAATAAGTTCAGTAGTCTTTAAATGACACTCAAATCTCAATAGTAGTCTTACCCTTGAGACCTGTTAAATACCCTTCCCTTGAAATTATCACACTTTATACCACATGACTAAACGTAAATAATGTCAATTACGATAAAATATAAGGAATCATTTTGAGCTCTAGAAACTGAATGAATGATTGCATTCCAAATAAAAAATAATTTTCAGAATTAAAAGTTATGAAGTGTACCTTATCTAATCAATTAACAGACGTCTGTAAATATTTTCTGAGTAAACATTATTTTCAATTGCCATCTACTCGAAAAACACTTGCTGCAAGGAATTACAAAAAATTATAAAAATTCTTCTTAGAACGAAGTTCTGCAAAATTACAAAGCTGACGTCATCCATGGAATTCCAAAAAAGCAAATAAACATATAATTTCGCAATATATGCTTCGATGAGCAGCAAAACAAAATTTAAGTCGCAAAAAAACAGTAAAATTCGTATTGTCATTTTAAAGCCCTCGATTCTCTCAATTGAATTCAACCGAACAATTGCTCTAGAAAAAAAAATTCACGATGTGTTGAATAGATCTCGTGTTTTTCTAGCACTACTAGGGATTCCCATATTATTGCAAAATTCAACGAAAATAGATCAGTTCCTATGTGCAGCACAGAGTGTCTGTTTTATATAAAACTCGAATTTCGGCCCACATCTGCCAGAAACCCTACACAAATATAATAAAAATCGTTGGGAATGAGGGGAAGTTCAACACACACATAAAAATATTGTATTAGAGAAAAAGCGGAAGTACTTCTCTCTGTTGCACGAGAAAATATTTCATAGAACTTTCAGTTAGGCTTCAGCAACGGTGCGCGTTAGTCAAAAAAAATATAATTTCTAAAATATTTTAAATTTTCTTCAGTATTAAAAAAAAAGGACATTAGAACTCATTGTACCTGAATTATAGAGCATCTAAAAATAATATCAAGTGAAATAAAATAATAAAAAATTTATCGAAGAGAAAACAAGAATTTATTGACAATAATGAAATAAAAATTTAAAAATTAGCTTGTTTTAACTTTGTGGACATAAAAAATGGTAAGGATGGGCTACAATAAAGATAATACACCTTAGTCAATAGTTAAAACAATTGTTTACATCTTAAGAAACATCAACAAAGATTTGTAAAAAAAAATATAACTAAGTGCGTAATAAGAAGAAGAAGACATTCAGTTCATTCATAAAAAATCAATACACGCATCTGCAGATGTTTGAATGTGTTTGCATCTGTTTACTCTTGATGGATGAAGAAGGCCGAAACAATTATCTCAATTATTCGAAACAGAATCAAATTCTCAACTTATTCTTTTACTTCATGGATATTTTTTTGGAAATTAAATTATTCACAATTTTAATTTTAACCCAAGAGTCATGAGAAGAAAAAAAAAAGTTTTCCATTGTAAATGTTCAAGCGCCATATGTACGTATATTTTTACTGTGTTGGTATTGAGCAGCTGCCTTTGCATCTTGCGCAAGTATTCGAATTGTTTTTTGAGAGGAAATTTCATTAGGTAGGAATGGAGCGTATTCATTTTGGCTGGTTGGTAGATTTTTGATAAATTTTTGAAAGGGTTTTATAATTTTACTTTTTAAATTAAAATTTGCCGTGATTTAAGATGCCTTGCTTAATTCGAAGGATTTTATAATATTAAAACTAAGGTTTGCAACTTAACGAAGCAAGGTTACGCAAATTTTTTGGTTTTTTGCCAAATTTTTACTAGTTCATAGCGAACCTGAACCCTTGAACCCCTATTCATGGCCACGTATCTATCTCAGAACCCAAATTTAAAATAATACATAAGTTAATTTTTGACTTTTGATCATTTTGATCAGTTTCACACCTTTTTTGACTTGCCTATGGGGGTTTGGTTTCTAGGGCTACACAAAATCTATTTCTTAGGCACAGTTAAGATTTGTTAAAGTGTTTATTTGATTTAAATAAATCACAACAATTGATTTTCTCTATTAAACCAAATCCAGGATCAATTTTGTCCAATTAAATATATAAATCTCAAATCAAATAAAATCTTTTGAATTTCACAATATTCATCTTATCAAAACGTGACATTTGAAACTTCTCACGAAAACAACAAGATCATTAGAGAAATCAGTAGAATATAATACACAACAGCATGTGCGAAAGAGATAAGAAAACGGATGTACAAAGTGAACCGAAACGCTCTCTCTTTATCCATGAAAACAAGCTAAAATCTAGTACATTCTCTCCACGATGTGTTCAAATAGTATGTTCACTCAAATCCTCAGTCTCTAAGTGAAACTCAAAGTTATATAAACGTTAAAAATTTTATTCACAAAACAAAAACTGAAAAAAAGAATACAAAAAGTACAGAAGATCAACTTCTAAAATATTTGGAATTTTTTCTTATCAAAATTATGCTCATTGTCTTTTGATAACAAAGTTTGTGGTGTTCTGAGCTATTAAAAGGTGAATTTTAAAACTTAAATGTTTGCGAAAAATTATGCCAACTGTACATTCAACCCATATAAAAACTGTATGAGAAAATCGAGAGAGAAAAAGTTTCCATTTTGAATTTCTGGTGAACCTTGTGACTCAATTATTAGCTTAATTTAAATACACTTTTACTCTACTTTAATATCTTTAATTTGAATGTAAAATTAGATTTTTAAAAATAGCAAAACTATGAAAAATTTGTGAGACGAATTTATCGATTTAGTTCTTGTCTATTGTTGTCTGGATCAAAACAAAACAAAATGTGACCTTTCATTATCAAAACTTCATATGAACTCACGAAAAAAAATATCATTAAATTCTTAGTGAATCATCAAGAATAATGGAAAAGTTTTTAAAGTATAAAAATAAAGCGATGATGGTGGTACATTTTATTATGAATTAAGACGAAGGCGAAGATTAAAGTAAAGTATAAGAAGAGAAAAAAAAAACTTACCAAACAACATTCCATTTGGATCGCAGACTTTCAATATTTTACTGACACAAGCAAGGAATCGTGAAGTATTATACACTGTCATGTTTTGTTGTCTAAGAAATACCACAGTCGAATTGGATATAATGAAGTTTTGAATAACATGTTTTCTGCAGCTATTTCTAGCTTGTTTAGATCTAGAAGATTAAAGTCCATTGAATTCTATAATTAAATTTGCAAAGCAATTATGCTTAATGAGCATTCATAATCCGCAAAACCAATCATCTCTAACCAAGATAATCTCCTTAAAATTTTAAACCAATTCAAATTTTCAAAAAAAAATGAAAAATTCCAAAAATAAATAAATTGGACCCTACTCAATGCTGCACTGCACAAACAGTTCAAATATAGAGTTTTTCATCAGTGAGGTCGTTTCATTAGTATTCCGTTGTTTATTTCTCACATTTCATTGTGTTAGTATCTTCTATTGAAGTATTGAGTCTTTAATATATTTTTTATGATTTTTTGTACGTGCAGACTATATCTAGAAGCTCTTATGGCTCTATGAAATGTCAAATAAATAGATTAAATGCTAGAAAATTAATCATTAGTCTTAAAATTATCAGAAAATATAGATTAACACAAAAGATATCGCATACCTACATGATTTTGTACTTACATGTTCGTATTTCTTAAGGATCTTCTTGGAAGGACGAATATCACGAAGTAGAAGAAAGAATGTCCTTAAGAGACGAGAAACTACGTCTCAAACGAACAAATGGCATTTCCTGTAAACAAGTTTCTTTATATTTGCTGTCTTTATGTTTTACTGAATTGGAATCAATTGTTGTCTCTATAAAGTAATCAAAAATATGATCCATATATGAATCATCCTTGGTATGCCTAAATAATCTTGAATAAGAACATGAAACTTAAACAGAATTGAAATATTTAGTTTAAAATTTGAAATTCCATTCTGTATAAACAGTGGTGAAAAGTAAACTCTTTCGAAAACCACACTGATAAGTGCTACAGAGAGAAATACTTTATAAATGAAATTTAATACTTTTTAAATTATTTTTGATTAAAATGTTCTTATAAACTTGAATAATACAATCACAATGACATGCTTGAATGTTTTTTCATTCATTATTATTATCGTTGTGGCTATATTTGAGTTAGAATTAGAACTCAGTTTGAATTGATGATTAGCGGAGGGGATGAGGGATATTTAAATTGTTTATTTGATCTTGTTCTGGATGTTTTGTCCTTGACAATGTCAAAGATAATACAAAAGTATTAAGTTAGAGGAACTGAGGGGCTCTACTGAATGATTATGGCTGGCTTCTATCATTTTTGAGAATTGTATAATAATAGAAAATTTAAAATTTATCCAAAAAAAAAGCATAAATATCAAGTTCTTATTAAGTAAAACTATTGCGAAGTGCAATTCATTCAATTCCTCACAACTTCTCGAATTTCAAAAAAATTCTACAACAATCATTCAATAAAATTTGTTTATTCAAACTCAATTTCAACAAATCTATTGAATGCAAATGAATCTATTCACATAGACTTACTAAAATTCACAAGAAGCCTTCGTCATCATCTTAATTTTTCTTTTGTTTAGCTTAAGCGAGTAACATGCAGAAACTTGAGATGGCGAAATGAAAGTTAAACTTTTACAAACATTTTCACTAAAAGTAGGTGATGATCCTTCAGAGACTTGCTTGCTAAACATGTAATTTCTAATGCACTGTTCCAATTAGAGTGTTTAACTGCATAATGCAGTCTCTTGTCGATTTTTCTTCTTAGAAAATGTTGAAGCTCATCAAACTTGATGTATTTAATGTTTTAATCCAACTTGTTACTTCTTTCAATCAGATTGCAAACTTGGTACATGACTAAATACAAATCTATGACAATCTGAATTATCTCTCATCATTTCAGCACCCCACACCAAACTCATACATATTATATCATAAAAATTAATCATAATTATAAATTGTTTATCAACCAATCCCTTCCAATTGTTTCATTACAGAGTCACATTATATATTCTGTTTCTAAAAATGAAGATCGCTCAGTTTAATATGGGACTGCCTAACGTATTCGGCAATTTGAGATATATTACAAGCCGCGACATTACTGACAATTCTGGAGATAAACGAGACAAGCATATGTCGGAGGCTACGTCAGGTCGAAATCAACAGATAACGGATTTAAATGTCGAAGCAAATAGATTAAAGACATTCGAAACTTGGAATGTTCCGTTCATTAATAAGCAAACATTAGCATTATTAGGGTTCTATTACTATGGTCCAGAGGATCTAGTTAAGTGTTATTTTTGTGGAGTAGAAATTGGAATGTGGGAGGATGGCGATGATGTACTAACTGATCACATGAAATGGTCACCATCGTGCAACTTTATTCGTCGTAATTGCACCAACAATGTGCCCATCGATGCGTCTCTTTTAAATCAGATATTACCACCACCACCAACAAATGATGTTTATGGGACTGTTGAGCGTCTTACGAATACAGTCAGTGAGGGTTCAATAGAATCAGTCAGCGAGGACGATGTACATATGCATCAGCATTCATTATACGATGAGGGTGGCATTGAAGCTGTTTTACGAGGTGGAAATCATATAGTTCAAAGTAAGCCAACAATTACAAAGCCAGAATTCCCTGAATATGCTGTCGAGGCTAAAAGAATCGAATCATATACTGATTGGCCAAAATTAATTAAGCAACGACCACAACAATTAAGTGATGCTGGATTTTTCTATACTGGAAAAGGTGATCGAGTCTTATGCTTTAGCTGTGGTGGTGGATTAAAGGATTGGGAGATTAATGACGATCCATGGGAAGAGCATGCCAAGTGGTATGGCAAATGCGAATACTTGAAGTTAATGAAGAGCCCAGATTTTATTTCAAAAATGATTGAATTAGGAAATAAGGAAAAGTTTGCAAGTGATGAGGTTGGATCATGTAGTTCACAATCATCAGGATCATCACTTAGAGGAAGTAAATCAAGTTCAACAGAGAAATTATCAAATGATATGGAAAAGTCTGACGAGGAGGAGGAAAAGAAGGATTCAAAACTTTGTAAAATTTGCTATGCTAACGAATATAATACAATTTTCCTACCATGCGGTCACGTAATAGCCTGCGCAAAGTGTGCATCAAGTGTCACAAAATGTCCTGCATGTCGACAACCTTTTGAAAATGTCATGAGAGTATTTTTCTCATGAAATAACGATAACAATGAGGATAAAAATGTTAGGTCTTGAAGTTGAACGACTTGACAGACGCTTGTGCTGGATTAATTTATTTATTTACTTTTATCTGGCAAAGGTCACAGTTCTGTCTGTAAATAATACTAATTTTAAATCAACTATAGACTTTATTGATAACTATTTATTTTCGAGTGATGAGAAATTTGAGGAAGCAATCATTTAGTAGCCATTTTGCAGTCATACTTATACTCAATTCTAAGCACCGTGCTTAATATTGTGATCATAAGTTGACTATCAAGTGATTTTGATGATCTCTTTAAACTATAATTGAAGTTTATGTTGGCTACCAAATGACTGCTCAGTGATTTCTTCATCTCTTGGAAACTGTCTTTAATAGCTTTGACTGATATTCTTACAAAGCTTTAATGCACTAGTTTCATGGTTTGTGACACTCACAAAGATGACAAGTCGAATGTAAAAATAAATACACTTTTTGTGACCTCAACGGTCGATTACTTCTAATTAATGATTAAACAGTATAAGTTAAGAAGATTAGACAGTAGAGGTAGTTTTGAGTGTTGTTGCTATGGATACAATGTCAAATTCATATTTAGAGGCTCTAAGTTAATGTTTGGCATGATGCCATGGTAAAGACATTCAAAATAGTAGAACATAGTTCAATCCTTTATTATTTTTGCCAATTCTATGGCAAGTTTCTTGAGAAATTTAAGTATTTTAAGAGGAATTTTCATTTTCTTTTATTTTTTCTACAAGAATTTGGAAATTTTTGAAAAAGGAAATTTTGAACTATGTTTTGGATCAAAAACAGTTTTAAATTGAAATGTGACAATTTTGTGAGATGAATTTAAAGCAGAACTTTTCAGTCACTTTACATACGCCAATCCTGTATCAGGTCGAATAAAAATTTAACTTCTAAGCATGCCTTAAGATAATAAACCTCAAATTGAATGTTGGAAAAATTTTTGCTAGCTCTTGAACTATTTGGGTTCAGGTCCTTGACATCTCATGAAATTTATCGCATTTTGGTTGTAATTTGTAATTAAAATTTTTTATTATAATTTTAATTAATTTTAATAAGTTTTTTGCTGCAACAGTAAAGCTCTTAATTATTAATTATTTTTCGTACAAAAGGACAGCATCCTTAAAATAAGTTTAATCACAAATAGTTTTTTTTTCTATTAGAAGCCGTTAAAATGTAACCTAGACTGTGTAATTCAACATACCTAAATGTTATTAAAAACAGGATTTACATCCTGCAGATCCTAGTATCATAACCAATCCATAATAATGTATGTGAAACTTGTCTATCAATAATTTTTTTGCAGACATGCCCTGTATTTTTTTAAACACTAAATTTCAAAGCAAATCTAATCTATGGAAAATGATTAAAAATATTCGAAAAAAAATTATAAACAAAATTCGTGTCTTCTTATTTATTTGAGTCGCAATTTCTGTAGTTTTCAAGTTTTCAGGTGATTTTTTAAAGTAAATGCGAAGAAATGAGCAAATTTCTTGGTAAACATAAACTAATCTTCGCCATTTTCAAGGTCATAAATTAATGACGACATTTTATTTCAGCCAAGACGCTAAAAATAGTTTCCTTGATGACTCATCATCATGACGCTGTTTAAGTCATTAAGTGAGAAATTTATTGAGCCGAGAAGTTGATGTGAGAATGGTTCCCAAGCTTTCGTATGGTTTCTTGTTAACATTAAAGTCATGCTGCTTTAAATAAGATTGTGTGTCATTCAGATTGTCTCTCAATGGATGTATGAGGTCATTTATTGGTGGTGTCGGAGATTAAGTTTCGGAATGTTTCAAGGAATGGACGCTTAAGTGAAGAGTCGTTTCTGATTTTAGATATACTTGATGCTTAAGAATAAATTTTTTTAATTTGTTGGGTTTTTTGGAAACAATAGCCCTCGCTTCCTCAATTTAAAAAAAAATCTAGTTATTGCTAATAATCTATTTAATTTGCATTTTTTTTTATTCCTGTACATGTAAGTTTTTCGAGTTTGTGATTCATTTTTGTTGAATGATAATTTTCCAATCACTAACCAGATTACTGACGTACAGACTGTCACTCAGTTGATAGCTGAACATCAACAATATATCATCCACTTATCATTCATACTAATAGACAACATAATTGAGTCATTCTGAAATTATTAAGGCTCATACTTCAATATTCTATATTGAATATACTGGAGGGTCCTCGATTTGAATAGATTCGATTTTAGTAACGAGTAGGGTTTGTGGAAAACAGCTGTTTTTGAAAAACAGTCTGTTTTCGGTTTTTGATTTTTAAAAACAGCTGTTTTCCCGTTTTTCTAGAATTCAAAATAAACTGAGTTATCCTAAGTGTTTCTCTAAGATAATGAAACTTTTTGGTGGTTATAAGCAGTTAAGCATACATTTTAGGGCTAAGCATTATTATTTCTTATTTTTTTATGTTAATTAACTCTAAAAAATATAATGAAATATAAAAATGCAAAAAAAAAATCCAAAAAAATTTATACCTTTAAGTAACATTGCATTGTTGCATTGTAAAAGTTCCATAGGCTCTAATATTTTATTTGAAATATTCAAAAAATCTTTCTGAATAAAAAAATATCTTGTAAAATTGTTGATTATATTTTTAAACTTTAGTAAATACTACAAAAGGTTCAACAAATTTAAAATTTCGATTGCAAAATTAATAATGATTAACCATTAATTTGATAATGATTTCAAACCTATTAAACATCCAAAAACCATTAAAATAGTAAATACATTTCAATTTGAAATGCTAGAAAAATATATTAAGTTCTTCAAAAAATTAAGAAATTTTTTTTTCTGTAAATTTTATGAAAAAATGAAAAACAGAAAACAGATCTGTTTTTGAGACCTGTTTTCTGTTAACAGATTTTTGTCGAAAAACAGCTGTTTTTATGTTTTCTGTTAACAGATTCCCCAAACCCTAGTAACGAGAATTAATGAATAGAAAATTTAAAATATTTTTCTGTAACGGACATTTTTCATACAAAAAGTAAATAATTCGATTTGAGTAGATTCGATTTGAATAGGATCTTTTGGGAACAAAACAATTAGGTACTCAAATCGAGGACCCCCAGTAAAATTCGCCTCATCTCTCAAACCTTACAAAAAAGTAAACTCAACAAGTGGTGGACTAAAAGTCAATTGCACCAACGATGCGCTCACCTTAGTCCACATATCTCAAACTTATCTCATCGAGATCAAAAATTCCTCTTTCATGAAATGAATTTTTTTTAGAGGAATAAAAACAAGTTTCTTATTTTACATTCAATTCCAAGAATAAAGAAGCGAACGAATGAAAAAATAAATATACGAGAGCATAGCTTTAGTACACATGAACCGAACATTGAAAATAATGATGCAGCTGTGTTGTTTTCGGATCTTTTTTCTCATTATTTTTCATCAAGAATTCCATTTTTATGATAAATTCTTCAGCATCTCGTGCCACAGTATTTGTAAGTAGAGATGATGATGATTTCTTAAGCATTTCCTCATCAACATTTTCAAATAGACATCATTCGTATGCAGCTTGTCATGACCATTTGAAATTGAAAAATGTTCTTTCTATTAAATTGAACAATGCATTAAATTGTGTTTGAATAGCTTTTATTGCTTGTTGCTTGCTGTTGCAGCGCACACATCCAAAAACGACCTCAACAGGAATGTGTTTTTACACCTTAAACGGCCTTTGGAAATAATTATATTGAGTGTATAATTTGCATCTAGATTTACACGAATTGTCTATTTACTGCATACTTTTTGAACAAATCATTAAGGCATGTGGTTTGACCAATACACACATTCGTATACGCTCGTGTATGGATAACAAACCCAATCGATTGTTTTTCAAACTTATAAGTCACAGTGCTGCTATGATCACGTACTTTTAATACTTTTAATTTGCATGCATTTTACATTACTTTGTGAATGAAACTAGCAAAAAAGTTTCGCAAGTAGGTGGATGACTTCACATCTCCAATGATTAAATTGATTGAATAATCAATTTCAAGTTGTTTTTCATTCAAAACTCTTTATATGTACATGCTCATAAATTTTGAGTGATGAATTATTTGTTTTTAAGAACTTAAATTTCATTTCGAATTAACGGACTTTAGATATTTGAATTTTATATCGTGTAGTTTAACTCCCCTTTTCAGTTAAATCGCAAAATGCTTCAAAGAATGTTAAATGTAGGGTTTGTGGAAAACAGCTGTTTTTGAAAAACAGTCTGTTTTCGGTTTTTCTAGAATTCAAAATAAACTGAGTTATCCTAAGTATTTCTCTAAGATAATGAAACTTTTTGGTGGCTCTAAGCAGTTAAGCATACATTTTAGAGCTAAGCATTATTATTTCTTAATTTTTTTGTTAATTAACTCAAAAAAATATAATGAAATATAAAAATGCAAAAAAAAATCCAAAAAGATTTATACTTTTAAGTAACATTGCATTGTTGTATTGTAAAAGTTCCATAAACTCTAATATTTTATTTGAAATATTCAAAAAATCTTTCTGAATAAAAAAATATCTTGTAAAATTGTTGATTATATTTTTAAACTTTAGTAAATGCTACAAAAGGTTCAACAAATTTAAAATTTCGATTGCAAAATTAATAATGATTAACCATAAATTTGATAATGATTTCAAGCCAAAAAACCATCCAAAAAATATTAAAATAGTAAATACATTTCAATTTGGAATGCTAGAAAGATATATTAAGTTCTTCAAAAAATTAAGATTTTTTTTTTCTGTATATTATATGTAAAAATGAAAAACAGAAAACAGATCTGTTTTTGAGACCTGTTTTCTGTTAACAGATTTTTTTCGGAAAACAACTGTTTTTCTGTTTTCTGTTAACAGGTTCCCCAAACCCTAGTTAAATGGTCTTAACAATGTTAAATACTTAGCTCAACATCCAGTAAGTCAATTTTTTAATTCTATTCATCATTTCATACCTGTAAATATTGACAACAGCCAACGTCAAAGTGTTTACTTACTCGCAACTATTCTGTTGAAAGATATTCATTGCAAAAAGTCGCAAAAAAAGTCGTAAAAAAATATGAACAGAGTCAGAGAGAACACCTACAATAGATCTCAATGTGATCTTCGAATCGATGACATCAGCGGTGACATAATTAATTAAATATAAAGCTTTAAGTTACTTATTGTTTTATGGAATTTTTTTTGCAATATCCATATGGTCTTAAAATTATGAAATTGAGCATGAATTGGCAAAAATCTCAAGTTTTGCTTATCAGTTCATTTGTAATTAAATACAAAACATTCTGTGCACTTTATCTCGTACTTAATAAATTGCTGTAAATAATTTAAATAAATAAGGAAAAATTAAAGTTGAGTCATGCATTTGCATATTGACTGCCTTATTACTTTACAATCGATTTATTTACTTGCAACTATAAAGATAGAAAGTCTTACAAATCAATAACAATGAAATTTTGCTTCGACAAAGCCTTTTGGTGATTTACAGAAAGAGAAATGTCGATGAGATTTGTTGAGAATACATAATCAAGGGAAATAACATTCATTTTTGTATGCCACGGTCCAGTCAATGTCGACAGCATGAATGAGTTAATATTATCAGTATTTCCTTTTGCATAATTTGCAGTCAATATCCATCCATCATTGTTATCAGTTCGATATTTTGTGGACATTTCTGAGCTCAAAACTTTCGCCACATTCTCGTCGGTTTGAATTTCACTTCGTTTCCATGCTGGCCACAAAATCGTTTCATTTTGTTCTGAAAATTGATAATTTAATTAATAAGGGAACTGAAATAATGTGAAAGGCACATGTTTTGTGTACATTATTAATATTGGAATTCATAAATTTGCGATGATTGTAATTTTCCATTGAAGTTTCCGCTGACATTATTCTTGATGATTTCATTGATTTGTAAATCAATTTTTAATTCAACAGAAACAATTAACTCGTTAAATTCTTCAATATTCATTAGTGGAGATATGAACTGCATATTAATGAGATTAATGGTTTTTCCAGACATACATTCTTGAAGTCGCAGTCCCGAATGACAAACAGAGTGATAAGTTTGTCAAAAAAAAAAAACTTTAGAAGAGCAAAAGAGGAATGGGAATTTTCAGTGATTATCTATGAACCTGGAATAGGCTGTCTAGGTTCGAACTTTGGGATGAGCACAGGGATAAGAACTTCTAATATGTTCCAGTTCTTTAGCCATTTTTCAAAACAAATATTTCTATTGGTGATCTCAAGTATCACTTAAACGACACAGTTCTACTGCCTCAAATTCAAGACTTTAGCAAGTATCAGAATATCAAACAGGAAGCAAGAGTAAGAATCTATTCCACTGACTTTAAATTCTTTTTGTTTATGTTTGATCATTTTAGAGGCCGTTCACTTATTACGTTCGCACTTTAGGGGGGAAGGGGGTTTGAAAAATTGTAACAAAATGTAACAAAGGGGGGGGGGGGTCAAGAAGTATGTAATGTTCTAATTGTCGTCTGTCTTTTAAAAAAAAGTTCAAATAAAAAAAATTTGTTTACAAATTCACACCAAAAACATTTTTTTAAATTTTCCACCTTTTTAATGATTTATGAATGTCCAGATCACTTTTGATAGCTAAGCAATACATAGTTTTTGTTATATAAAGTAACAAATCAATAGAAAACTGGTTTACAAGACTTTAAAATACAATCATAATTTGTGGAAATTTTCAAAATTAAATCAATCATAAGTTTAAAAGTAAATCTCTCTAAATCTGCCATTCATATGATGATTAATATGATCCCATCATTGTGATATTTACATTCAAAGTTGATCGGGCATAATATTTTTCATGACATTTTTGAATTTTCTTCAAAAAAAAAAAACAAATTTTTGCTTTATATCACAATCCAATAATTCATGAGAATACTAATAGTATCAATCAAAACATGACCTATTAAGCTGTACAGTATTTTGATGTTTAAGAAAAAAAATACAAAAGAAATTTAACCGTCTTTTTAGAATAAAAAATTATCAAAATAAAATAAATTATGAACGTTCAAGGGGGGGGGGGGGGGGGGGGTTGTGAGTTGTAACATATTGTAACAAAGGGGGAGGGGGGGGGGTGAAAAAAGTCATTTTTTTGCGTAACCCCTTAACAAGTTTTGAGCTATTAGCAAGAAGCCAAACGAAGGCAAAACCCTCACTGGATGTTGCCAAGGCTGTACTTTACGGAATGATAATTAAATAGACAATTTTGTCATTCATAAAATATTAATGAGATGTGAGCAATTATTGAATGAAAATTCATAAAAATTTTGCGACATGAGTAATCACGACTGGAATTGATTAATATTCTTAAATCGAACACAAGCTGATATTTATGAAATGATAAATGTTTCCCAAAATAATTTTTGTTTGACGTCACGAACTCATTGTTTGAACCTTTTATCTTGGCTTATTGATAAATGACTCCGTTTATCTACAAAATTGACGCCATTTTTCGATTGGAGTGACATTTTTTCAGCTATGAGCTATGAATCATTTTGCAATGAGATTTCCAGGCATTTGTTTTTATCAATTTTCTTTTAATAAATAACTAAATGAGGACGTACTGAATAAAATATAAATTTAATGAGCTCAGTGTCAATTGCTTAATCGATAAGAGTTGATTACCTGATTTAATAGACAAATCCTCGAAGTTATATAGAATTATGACATTTTTGGACAAGCTCTTTATCTTCTGGATGGTGAAGTCACAAGATTTTGCATAAATTTTCCCATTATTCATCACAGCGATATGGCCGAACATATTTTGTAAAAGTTTCTTAAAGATATCATGTGCACCTGATGAATCATGGAAGCCATACGAGAAGTTTATAAAATCGAGGATTAAAATTTCATTGGAAATTTCTGCAAACTTCAAAATATCTTCAAGAACTGGAAATATTGGTGAAACTTCATGTTCATCATTAAATATCCAAAATCTACTTCGAATGTCCAGTGACTTGTGAAAACTTCGAAAGTATCCAACTGAGAATTCTAGATATCTTACACCAAACACAAGTTGGTGCCAAATGTCGAGATTCTGATGAAAACTCTCCGGTTTCAAATGTCTTCGTCTAGAATTTCTTTCTGTTGAATAACATCCAGAATATCTTGAGCCTGGAATAATCAATTCTTTCAGCGGAAATTGCCAAAATTCTTTTGTATTGCTCATCCATTGTGGATTGATTTTAAGGCAGTTGAAATTTGTCACATGATTGGATTTATTAAAGCTTAATGCGTAATAGTTTACACAGGTTCCTTCTATGGAGTCAATTGAAGCTTTTTGAGGCTCTGGATTACTTTTGAAGCTCCATTTTGATGGCAGTTCCAAATTTTCTAATTTTATTTTAGTATCAACCTGTCCTTCCTGTATATTCTTTGGATTTATTTCATCTAACGCTGGCGTTTCCTTCAAATATGGATTCTCAGAATAAATCCTTATTTTTGACGGTAGATCTGAACACTTTGGATCCCATCTAGCAACTAAAGTAGCATCCTTTAAACTGAATGAATTTGACGATATTGTCAAGTGCACAGGACAAAAACTTTGAATTTTGTGAATAAAATTTATAAAAAAAAATATTTTCACGAGCATGTACATCTTTTTCAAGTGCTTAAACGATAACTAGCTATGTGATAAGTGAGATACTCTCTTTCTTGATGCTCAATTTAGGCTACTTAATTTATTTTTTTTTGTATTTATGCTTTTTATAGTTGAATATGATTCTTTCGTGTGGGATTTGAGTGCATTTGCTAGGATGTTATGGCTGTCTGTGTTGGGATGTACATTAAATTTTGATGTGGCTCCAATATTTCCATCAAATAAACTTACATAATTTAAGAAATATAGATAGAAACAATAAAAATAAATGAACTTATTAAGTCCACAAAGTATTCTACTAAGGTCATTCACAATGTGCATTATTATCCATCCAAGATGCACTCATTTTATTGTCTGAAAACCTCAACATATTCTCATAATCATACAGAACTTAATAAAAAGATAAAATAAAGATATTCAACAATGTGCTTTAATAAGGTCACTCATAATCCATAAATTCAAGCTCCATCATGCTTCTGGAATAAATTTAACATTATGTACGCAGTACTCAACTTTTCCTGTAAGTAATCATAATCATAAAGAACGCTAGATTAAGCATAACGAAATTTCCTGATTAAATTTAAGACACAAATGCATTCTCAATATTTCAAAAATAATTTATTCATTAATTATTTTCATTTATTATTCGAACATGTTTTCTACAAATTTTTTAATTCAGCTATGTACAACAATTAATTATAAATCTAATTATGATTTTCTAAAAAATTTATGTTTTATTTCTTTTGGGTTTTTGTCAACGACACTAATGAGTTTTTTTGGGATGATGGACTTACTAGGGTTGGCTAGATTTTTATATTTTTGTGAGTAGATTTTTAAAAAGTTGACAATTTTTCAATTTTAATTTCTTTTTATTCCAAAAAAGATAATTTTAAAAGTTTAGAGTTTTTAACACTTAAATAAAATAACCATCCCTAGTATCCCTACCTTCCCAAAAAACTCTTCTTTTTCATCTCAATTCATACCACAAATTACAATTAAAAATTTTCTACAATTTATTTTCTTGTTCCTTTCTTATCCGTTCATATTTGCATTGATCGATCGCAGAAATAATAAAAAACACAATTACAAAATAAAAAATAATTAAATACATTATAAAAAGGTGCAAACAAAGTGAATTAATTAAAAAAAAGCAGGTACTTTGATTTGATTCATTTTTCATTTTCTATTATTATCATTATTTAAAAACATTGTTGAAAAGATACATTTTGGGATCACTAGATATGAATATTTACAAGGAGTTCCGTATGTGGATGCTTGAGGTAGATTTCTAGCTATTCTCTATTTTTTTTTATTATAATAATAATTACTATTGGAAATAAGATGTGATTCATGTGATAGATGGTAAGAAGGAGTCATCGTAAGTGATGCGTAGATTGGTAAAGTTTGCATGATTGATAATTATGTAAGATCAAAGTCATTAAAATGTGATTATTTAATAGCTTACATCTGCACGTCTGTTGATGACAATGAGATTTGAATCTTTTGCTACCTAACAGTGCATAAAACTACTCAAAGTTATAGATTGAATTATTTAATTAAAAGTTAAGCTTTAGGTGTGCTAATCGACTTTATTGGGTTCGCTAATAGCCATGTTGGTGTGTCTTTAATCTTAGTCGTGTGCCAATAGACAAGCTTGTGTGTCAGTAAAGTAGATAGTACACCACTTGACATGTTAGCTTGCCAATATACAAGATTGTATACTTAAATGCGGATTAATGAGCCCTAAGGCACTTTTGTGTATTACTTTGTACACTAAAGTTGCACAATATACACTATATTGAACCATTAGACACTATATTGATCATCTAGACACTTTTAGTCTACCAACACGGCAGTTCAACAGACTATCCAATACCCAACATACTTATTTACACAAAATCAATCAAGGAGCTAGCTACAGCTCACTTAACTCATTAAAATCCCGAATCACTTACGATTTACAATGTGAAGTTCTTATCTCTAACATTAAATAAGTTAAGTACAAGAGATTCACAATCAGATCTATGAATTGACTTTTTTTTTCTGAGATTAAGATATATCTACAATGTTTTGTTTTGTTTATTTTAAAATCTTGATTCTTGACATTGGGGAGTGATTTGGCAATTATGTTTCGTCATTAAATGTATACTTATTTCCACAACATGTGTGTGTGTGTGTGTAAAGGTCAAAGTCTACTAGAATGTATAAGAAAGAGACTGAATTAAGTAAGTTAAATTATATAGATAAGTAGGGTACGATAATAACAATTAAAATCATGTGCATTCCTGAGACATTGAAAGTCGCGTTTCTCATATATGCAATTTTGTATTTCTGATAAGATATAGTCAGTAATGTTCATTCATATCTTCATCTTCTTTGTTGTCTCACTTTTTTTATGGCTTCCAATTTGATCAATATAAATTAAAACAATAAAGTAATCAATTTTTCTTCTATGATTGTATGTGCCTTATGATACACGCTAATTCTTTAAACGAGGACAGTCTTTATATTTCTTTTAAATTAATTTCTTTTTTTTAAATATATTAAATATTTACAAAAAAACTTTTCTTTTTAATTAATTTCCTCAAAATTAGATAATTTGATTCCTTAATAGACAAATAATATTTTTTGTGTGAATCGGATCGCACGAAGGAGTTCATTAATAAATATCCTTAAAATTAATGGTCTCACTAATAATGCATATACTACGGAATCTTTAATAAATTAAATGCTAGATTTACATTTTAATGAACTTTTGTTTCCCTAAAGTTTAAAAAGTTTTTTTTTGCGTTTCCATGACTGGGACTGTTATTTGTTTCCTTTGTTTAATTTGTTGCACTTTCACAGAACTAGCTCATTGAGTATGAGTTCGCTAGTCACATGTCTGTGAAAATGCGTATATCGATCATCAACAGACGATGACCTTTTTATTTATTCATTGCATATTCAATTAACTGGATTGTTTAATACTTTTTTTTATGATCTTAAGTACGATAATACATTAATTTCTCTTTCTTCTATATTTTACAATCTTTGAATTAATTTTCTCAGAAGCTTAATTTTCTTGTGAAAAACTAGATTTCTATTAATTTTCTCAATAATAGCAGAAGTAAGACTTAGGAAGAGATAAAATCGTCAAGACTAATTAACACTAACTTGTTGATTCAGTAAACAATTTAATTAGTTCTTTATGATCCATATTGTTAAGTGTTTGCATATCTACACCTAAAGCTTGTGCAACAGCATCCATATCTAGTCCGAATGACGTTAGAAGCTCTAAAAATTTCATTTCCTCTCCAGTCAAAGGATTCGTTAATGATGGACATGAGTGATTACATTGTGGCCAACTACAACGCTCTAACAGCCTCAATGCGCATTTTTTTGGTTCTTTAATTTCCATTAGTTGATTTTGTGTCTTCAGCAACTTCTGACGATTATGCTCACCATGTCGGCGCTTATTTTGACCTTTCTGTTGTTGTTGCTGCTGCTGCTGTTGGTTCTGTTGATTTCTTCGGTGATGCTTAGGTATTCTTGTGGCATTTCTTGCCTCCATTCTCTCTAGTCGTCGTCGCTGGCTTGCTTGTTGACGACGATTCTTCTTTTGCTGCTTTGCAACTGGTTCATTTTCAATAATCTTTGGCAATGAATTTTTGTTATTCATTTCATTTTCCTGAGGTGAGCGCTGTGCGCGTGGAGTTTGATTTTTGGTTTCCATTTTTTGAAGAAATTTCTCTTGACGTCTTCGTTCACGACGCTCAAGTTTTCTTTGTTCACGCTCTTCTGGTGTGAGCTTATGACGACGACGCTCTTTGCGTCTTTGTTCACGTTCTTCATGCGTCAGTTGTGGCTGATCGCTCTGATGATTCTTTCCTTTATGGTTTCTATTGTGCTTATTTGGACGCTTATTGTCTGCAAGTTTAAGGATAATTTTTCTATCCTTAAGCAACGAATTCTCCCAACATCTAAGCGAGTCCGTAAATGACACATCATCAATTTTAATATTTTGCCAATCACGTTTGGTGAGGACTGAATGTCCTATACAGGATGGTGCAAAAACTGCTGTTACATTTTCAAGTGATTCTCTTAAAGCACCGCCCATTTCATGTATGTAGTCCCATTGCTGTGGAGTTACTGGTGCACCAACATTATCAGCTCTCATTTGTGCTTCATCAAATAACCATTGGAAGATAAAGAGAGGTGCTGGAAATTTATAAATAAAATATTTTATTAAACTTCTGTTAATGGAACAAGAAGTTATTGTCTTACATTTCAAAGTGTTGTACAGTCTATGTCCAAAATAGCATCTCCATGGTTCTTTTTGTTCAGCAACACAATCGTCAGGCAACACACCATCCCATAATTTCCATCCTTGTCTGACTGCTTCAGCAGCAGCAACACCAGGTGTAAATGGCTCTCTATCTAAGAACCATCCTGAGTCACTGACTCCACGAACATGAACATTTAATCCTGAAGAGATTAAAAAATTATTATTTAAATGGATTTAAGCTGCATTTGATTCTCAAAACATACCTCTTTCATCTTGTAAGAATGCTCTCGTTTTATCCAAATTAAGCATTACACCAAGACCTCCAGCTGATGATCCAGCCATCAAGAGATCAGTTCCTTGAGGATTTCCAAGACCAAGTGGAATAAGATCAGCCATGACTTGACGAACAATGAGTGATCCCATAAATCTAAAACTGTCTCTAGACTCTGGCTTTGATCGTCGTCCACTCCACGAGTCACTACTGCAGTATGGAACAAAGACATGATTTGCATTGTACCAGTAAGGATTCTCAGTTGGTGATGGTGACAAAATGCCTCCAATATCTCTCGTTTCTGGCCATGTTGTTGATGTCATTAAATGTCTATGATGAAATTAAGAATTAATGCATCATGTTGTGATATTTAAGTAGCAGTTAATTACCTCATTTTTGTCCATCGCATCTTACATGATTTATGATCAAAGCAGTACCATCCACCTTCAAAGAAGACAACCCATCTCTTTGATCCCGGTGATTTTCTAAGATAAAATCCAGCCTGTGATCCATCATTGCATGTGATGTCTCGATTGGAGAGAAAGACTCTCTTTAATTTTGTAGACTTTGACAATCCATTGGTAGACTTTGCATACGATTGATTTCCATCGGTTGTTTTTCCTACTAGCCGCTGGATGGAGTTAGTCTCGATTCCTGTGGATAATTCAAAATTATTAACGTACTGTTTTTTGTTGGATTTTCAAGTTGTCGTCTTACCTTTATTTTGTCGACTTATTCTTGTTGAGTTATTTCCATTGTAGCTAGTATTTAAATTCGATGTAAATGTCCTACAATCACATGGAATGTATGGAAGAGTTAGGGCAACTGTTAAGATTATCTGTAATTAGATTGGAAGGAATTTAAGATCATTAGTAAATCATGTCGTAAAATATTACAAGTCCAAAAGTAAAAGCTACAAAGAGAGTCCAAAAATGGAAATGAACCACATTATTCTTTTACTTCATTCCTTCATTCACATAAAATTCTTATTGCTTGTCATATAAATACGTTTATAGGCTTGTCAGCTATATCAATTGCTCCCTGTTACACATTTGTTATTGTGTCTTATTAACGTGTCTTGTTGATAAAAATCAATAACAAAAGCCGACAGATTGAAAATGAAATGAAATTTAATAAATATAAAAAAAAAAAACCTGTTCCGTCATTTCTCCGTACACATATATGCAGGCAGTGCCTTATTAATTTCTTTCGCGTTTTAATGGGTACTTGGCAAACTTTTGAGTGCATTACCGACAACTGAATTTAAATTGTTTATTTCAATTGATTTGAGGACATGATACTCTCTGGCGGGAAGATGAATATTTATTTAAAAGAAATAAATTACAACATCCAGCACGCAGTTCACTGGAAAATTGTCATCGGAAGCAATCAAATTTTATCGTTAAAGTCGAGATCATTTCCTCTTCCCACAGCCATTCTCAGACAAAGAAGTCGTTTTTGACCTATAAAGAAAATCTCTATACATCCAGTCCAAAAACAAAAGACAAGTAAGTTCATTGAAGTCATTTTCGGAATCTTTGTAATCATTTAAAGAGAATTAAATCAAAGAGCAAGGTACGAAGAAGTATAAACACACACACTCAGTTTTGCATTCATTTCCTCAACATTCCATGCATAGCTGTCTTATTTACATGCATACGGTATTTGTAAGATTGTTTCATTTTCTAATTAGCATTGTCCATTTATACATTTGACGTGAACGAAGTGAGAGATCGAGATCTGTCAAAAACAAAAAAAAATTGTATAGCTTAAGTATGTGATTATTTAGTCTGCCGCTACTCAATGTTTGAAGAAAGAAATTTTTCAGAAATGGAGCAAGAAGCGAATGAACAAACATGGAAAGTCAAATAATGATTTCAAAAAACTAGAATGGATACACGACTAAATACGGGAATGTTTAATGATAATAAAATATCTAAAAATAAAGAAATAATTTTTGTGTAACAATTTTTTTACAGACAAATGAGTAAAATTATACAGCAGTTTATATCTGATTTGCTTTTATGTAAATATAAAGAGAGATGCCGACAGACAAACTAAATAAGTACATATATAGTAAGCTATTTTACAAAGGAGCCCACCAATTTCCATTCGGTCATATAGTAAACATACCGACAGTCATCAATATTGATGATGATGACGATGATATAAAGTGGGTAAAATAAGCATAGAGAGTGAAACGATAATCATAAATAAACAAGCGATTCAATGAATTAAAAATCCATTTATAGTAGTCAGGAGAACTTTTTTTTTACTACAGTTCAAGCATGTTGAACATACAAAAGCGATTATTTACATTATTAGTACATATTTAAACTTATGTTTTTTTTGTGCTGTTTGCTGCTGCTTCTGTGATTGGAAAAAATGAGTGTTAAACATGACGATTATTTGTTTCCCTTTCTCGCCTCTCTCATCACACATTTGCAACTATTTATTATGCAATAAATTGCTTGTAAAAAGTTTATTGCATACAAATCGTGAATTGCTTTGTGATCATCCATTAGTAAGGTTTAATATTAATCAGAGTGCAGACGAGGGAGGTGTAATGTTGTGAGTCAAATTCTCAACACTCTATGGAAATGATTTAGAGATCAACTTTGGTAGGAATCGAACTCTTGTCCTATACAATGAAAAGTGTTAAAGAGTTTTTGTCTATTGCCTTACCACTCGGACACATAGACCTACTATTGCACTGACAGATTTGCCTATATATGGCTCAATACTCCAGTTTCCCTTCTCTCAATCATAAGAGGTTTGGCAAATATAGACTCTTATAACAAAATATACCCAACCTCTAGCTCCAAAATCTACATGAAATGAATCATTGAATTAAAAGAATCTTGACATGCAGATATAAAACAGATCTGGCTGATAAGTACATCCAAGAAGTATGATAATAGACGTGATTTATGAACAACCTTTCTTTTACTTTTTTACGTGTCGCGTTTGATTTCAATCAATTAATTTATAATTTATCTTCAAACAGTCATTTTACAACCGCATGCATTCATGAATACATGATGATAATTGCATTGTATATTTCTTTCCATAAATGAATGTGTGAATCACTTGTATTTGTGGTGTGTGCTTACAAGATGCAGAAATGGAATTGTTATGATAAGTTGTGATGACATCGTGATCAGATGGTGGACTGTAGCGTAGTTTCAAGCGGAGAATTGGGGAGTTTTGAAGGGTTTGTGGCAGTCTATAGACTGTGGTGCTGACGAGGAATATAATGCAGAAGAACAAGCTATAAGTAGAAAGTTTTGCATGAATTAAAGTAAGTCTTTTGTAACTAGAACGTCATGTCAATAAACCGGAGATCTCTGACGTGAGTTCGATTCCCACCAGACGATCATCATTGAGAGCTGACATTTAAAAGTCGTAAACTAGATGTTTTTCAAGATTAAATCGCAAAATCCTCTGCAACTAAGTTGTTATGCATGCAGGCCGCAAAAACCCAAATCGCATGCAAAAATGTGCACATTGCCATCAAAACAAAAATATTGCAAACCTCAAGAGAGTGAGAGAAAAGTCAGCACAAAAGCCCGCGAGAGAGAAAGATGGAGAGAAAAGTTATCGGTTTTGAGGAATTTCTTCTTTCTTTTGATTTGCGCGAAAAAAAAGTATAAAATAAAAAAAAAAGAAAAATGGGCAATAAATTTCTTTCCAAATGAGATAACATTGACTCAGCAGAAAACCGCAGTCTTTTGCAACTTGCCGACACTTGCTTTTTAAATCTTTCCATTCGCTCATTCACCCTCTTTTTTACACCACACAATTCTTCTTTTGTACACCTTCTTCAAACTGATCATCATTATTCTTTTTGCATTACATCGTTAGACTATGTCGCGCTATTATGAAGTCCATGATCATCATAATGAATTTCATTCATAAAAAAAATTGAGAAATGAAAAGAAGATGATTTTTTTTTGTGTGAAAAAAGAATTGACTATCTCAGACTAAGTAAGTACGAACAGCAAGTACAAGCGAGTATTAATTTTTTTTTTCTTCATACATATACAAAGGCCGTCTCTCTATGGATATACTCGACTGTCGAGTATAAATGAAGAAACGAAAAAAAAAATCATATACAAAATTGTGAAAAAGAAAATTATAATAACACATTTAACACACAAGAAATGAGAGAATTGATTGTGTCGGCATTTTCCTTTGATGTTGGCGCGTAGTAATTGCTCGCATTTTGATCAAAAGAACCCGAAGTAACAAATGAATCCGCAAAAACCAAAACACATTCTCTCTCGCTCTATGTGCTTTGTGCTTCGGAAATCTGTTTACGTTTTTTCTTCTTCTTCTTCGCATTTTGCTTCTTTAACTTCTTTTTTTTTTTATTATTAATAATCTTTCTTTTTGATATTTCTTCTCTGTACATCTTCTCAAAACTTGCTGCTGCTGCTTTTGCTAAATTTTTTTTTTGAAGATTTCTCTCTCACGACAGAAGAAAAAAATGAAAAATATTTTGTTGATAGAATCGGAGACAAAAAGTCAACATATGTGGAACAGATAAATCAAAATTTGTCCACTAGATAATCATGGTTATAAATCACCATCTTACTTCCACTATAAATCAAACGGAGGAATTTCAGGAATTTCTTAAATTTTCTCGTGAAAAATACCTTGGATGAAAATTAACTTTTTGTGCTGCACAGGGTTGGTAATTTAGATGTTGAGGATAATAAATCTCTCCATTTGAGATCCAAACTTTAGATTTTATCAATAAGAAATAGAATGTGACAACCTAGTCCTTTACAGGATCTTATCTCATGATATAAAGTATTCTCAAAGTTTTCAAAACTGTCTTGGCCTTGGTCTTGTAAATTAGTCAACTCGGTCTTGATGTTCAATGTTTTTATGATGCTTGACACAACCAGACAATGCCAACATGTAGGCAAGGTAACTAGGCAATTTCTACGCTTAAACATCATTTCAATTTGATATTTTCTTGACAAAGTCGATTAAAAGTTCGATCCATTTTAGCGTAGATAGAATCTAGTCGTCTTTAGGGTTATAAATCTAACCTATCTAAAAGATCCTAAGTGGCCATCAGTTAAAGCAACACTGCACTTTAATTAAAAACCCATTAATTCCCATTCATTATTAAATAATATACATCTTTTCATCTGCTACTTCTGCATAGTTTTCACAGTCTGCAAATGTATACATTATCGATCTGCAAATCAATCGATCGCGTCTGCTTTTTATGAAATTTTTTTTCTCATTTTTTTTTTCTTTTGATTTCTTTTACTACAAAGAGAGGAAAAATAATCAGCAGTTAAGAGTTCATTCATAAAAAAAAAATTCGGCACATTGAGTAGAAAAATTGAGTGAGTGGAAGTTATCGATGAGGGAACTGAACTGTCAATAATAGATGATGTTAATAGGTGTAATGATAATTATCTTTGTGTGTTTTGTTGACTTATTGCTTTGTAGATTGCTAATTGGAGAAAAGATATAATTAAATGGACGTCAAGTGGCGATTCTATGAAATTTCAAATCTGTTTTTAAGCTATTTTTAAAATTTTACTAAGAATTGTTTTTAATTTTTGTTTCAAGATTGTGCAAATATTTCACACAGAGTGATATCGACAGATTTATTGGTGAATTGAATCAGATTTTTTATAAAGAAATCTTTTGAATTGGATGTAGAGCTCAGCAAGTTTGCATCCGTAATACTGTTTTGAATGATCTTCTGTTGATATATTCAGTAAGATGGAGTATTTAAGACTTTAAGTTCATTTAAGATGCAGGAGTTTTACTTTTAGAGATCTGAATTTAAATAGATTTTGATTAGAATTT